TCTGCGTGCTGTTCATTTCCTTTCATAATATTACTCTCTATACTGAAGAATAAGCTACAAAGGATGTGATCAGTTTGCTATACATAACTAGAGCAATTGCTTCAAAGTTGTTAAAACTGCCTTCGTCGCTATGCGACTGGCATAATTTTGTGAAAAGCTAGTTAATTGTCCAATGTATGAATAGAGCCATACTGCTCTCTATTCGAGTAAAACCTGCTAATTAATCCACTTTTTAAAGAAATTACCATGGGAGAGGGATTCATTTGTAATTTAAAATGTTAACTAAAGGAGTAAATGTCCACCGGTACCGGCACGACTTTGAGTATCAGAAAAACTAAATTAAACTAACTAACTAAATAAATAAAAACCGTCGAAGGTTTGGTCCATGCACATAGCCGAATATATCACAGCTTCATTTCCACAAGTCCACAGCGGTAATATATCAAAGCTGCACATAACCTTAAACCAACCAACCAAATATTACGAGAGAAATACTGGTTCTCAACCATGAACGGTATGAAAAAACTGAACACAAAGCAACACCGACAGGAACCAGAAGGCCACTGATATAATAATAATAATAATAATTAATTTCTAGCGCATTACATTAAAAAATCTCAATGCTCTTACTCAATAAAAATGAGAAAAACGATAACGAAACCGACATAAGGAAAATATATTAAATTACAATGGATGATAAAATACTAAAATTCATTAATACAAAAATTCATCATAAGATACTAAAATTCATTATAGAAATACTAGATATATATCAAGGGAAGGCTGGAGTGTTGTATCTATAGGTTTGGGAGGGCCGTACCCCGATTATCCGGACTGCCATCACAACTTGCTTATGAAACTGGGAGGAGCCGCCGAACACTTGATTAACGCTAGCGAAAAATGCATTTGTCGGTTGAGCTTTGAATTTTAGAGTTCACAAGTTATTGAGAGGCGTAGTAAGGATAAGAATCACATTCACTGCACGTCAGCAATGTATGTGTAACATGAATTTAACGTTTTGAAAGCTCAAATTCAAAATGTTCTCCTGTAACATGGATAAGTTCTTTGTGGAGGTTTGAACTTTCCAACAATGTTTGAGTCCTCTAACACGTTTCTTTTCTCGAAATGATAAATAATAAATGGATAAAAGAAATAAAATTAAAAACCCTCATGATATTAATTTAGCCGTTTAAAACACAACCACGAAACCAAAACTCACTCGCATTTTTACTCGAGGAAAACGAAAACCCAAGAACTGCAAAAGTAAAGCAATTTGCATTACTTTTTAAATCTTCCACCGAATAACAAAAATGCCCACCGCATATAAAATAGATTTATTCTCACCTTATGCGATGGGTCTGTCCAACGGGATATCCCAAAGGATTCTAAGCAAATCCAGAATTTGTGCAAAAGATACGTTCTAGTGGGATAAACCATTTCCATTCTAGGAAAACCAAGAGAGAATGGGACATTAAACCAGGAAGCGTGCTCCTTAGTTCTTTTTGAAAAATGGTGATGGTCTGGGCCGAGCGAATTGATCGGCGCAAGTGCTTATGGGATTGTTTGGGGTAAAGATCCCAGAGTCAACTTCAAATCGGAAATGGTGGATCTGATGCAGACGAGTGAGTTGAGCTAAGATCCATGTCTACCAAGATGCCTCTGGACGCATACTCAACTTGTGCTACCCCATGAGTAATGACGTAAGCAGAGCTTGATTCTTGCCGAGGCCTTGCCGAGCTCAGACACTGCATTGGCATTGAGTGTTCGGCAACTTTGTTACCCGTCATCCTTTTTGCCACAGCTGTGGCAGGTATCATTGGCTGCAGGAGAGTCACGACGTGCAGCATGTGGCGTACGGCTGCATCACAAGCAGGTAGAAGACGCAAGAGACTATGAAGCTGAGAGCCCTTGCCGTTTGAAGGGGCGACGAGGAGTTCTGGATTTGACATCCTAACCCTAACCCTAACCCAAAACTTGAAGGCTCGACGGCGATCCTCACAGTTGGCAACGAATGGGGGTCGATCTTTACCCATGACGTCAAAGAGGGAGTCGATCAGGCTCGTAGCGTTGGAGAGTCGATCGCTGAGGTTGTAGCGCTGGAAAAGAGTCGAAACAAAATCAGTGAAGAGCGACCAGGCTGGAACAATGATGATTTGGGTTCCAAAGTTCTGACACAATGTAATAACTTGGAAAGAATCTCACTAATAAAGTATTTTAATGATATCAACATGGCCGATTAGTCGAGCACATGGTTATAATACAATGATCACTGAAATGCAATATGGGGAACCTAGCTTGGGTGAAATGAGGCGAAATTTCTCGATGCAATCAACAAGTCAAAAACCTATGTACGCGTAATTTGTCTCCTGAAGGAAAAAAAAATCTTATTTAATTATTAAGTTGCCAAGGATAAATGTCCTCTCTTAACTGCTGTTTTTCCTTTGATACAAATATTCGTATGTTTCCTTAGGTTACTCGCCAATACTAAACAATTATTGGATGAGGTTTTTGCAGTATCCAGAATAATCAAGGTCGAGGTAGGGGTTATCATCAGGCTGATAACCTTAACCGAGACCTTGATTATTCTGGATATCACAAAACCGAATCTAATAATTGTTTTATTTTACATTGAACGAAAAAGAAAAAAAAATGGTCACGACAGTGAGTGGAACTAGTAATTTATTTCTAAACGTGTAAACACATACAAATCAGCGGTACATAACTCGATTGACAAAAACTTCTAAGCAGTTAATAGACAATATGTGAAAAATTGAATAAAAGCTGGTTGAGAAAGTAAATAGCAATAAATAAGTCTAACTAAAGAAAACATTACAGTTATAAAAAGCGAAAATTTTGGAAACTTAGGAGTGAGTTGTCTGAAAGTGTAAATCTCGCATAACGTGCTTTTCCTGTGAGAGAGTTAAAAGGGGAGACAAATAGTTATTGTCAGCTGTTAGGCTTTCTAACCTCGCAGAGTCTTCATTGGGAGCAGAGTTGCTAGCGCTGGCAGCGGTTAACGTTTCTGACATTCTCCTCTTGGTGGTTTGATTGGTTTTGCTGTAGGCCCTGATTGAACTTTCATTTCTGTGTTTTAGATGTTGCAAATATTTCTCGAAAGAAGCGACAGGACACCACACGCCTTCAGTAGCATACATAACTCCTCCTTCCTCAGCTTCATCGTCTTCTCTGTTATTTTTAGTTAACTCGTGGCGGACTTTTGACACAAATTTGGCTCCCGTTACATCAGTGTGGACTTTGAAGGCAGCTTTTTTCAATTGTGGTAGATTTTGACGACCACGTCTGCAAAAACACAGCATGATTTCGAAGAATACTTTGTTCAGAAGCGTCTTGAGTCGTCTTGGGATGGTCTGAATTGAAAACCCCGCTTTCATACAGTTTTCTTCAGGTCATCATCGAGTATCGGCGGTTTGTGTTGTACTTTAGCTTGACCATCTTTCTTTAGTTGGACACATTGAGCTGTAAAAACTTTGTTAGCCTCATTGAACTCGACGTCATTAATAATATCAATCCCTGTTGTTGATTTAAAATGTCTGTTCAAGCCAAATCTGAGGGTTTCCAAACTCCCCATGGAGTAAGACGAACCATCTTTCTTTCTCGCTTCGACATAAAATGTTTTCAAAGTTTGTGCCAACTCTTTCTTTTCCTCGGGTTCTCTCAGTTTTTTCTCTTTCACGTAATCAGCAAACAGCTCCTTTGCCACCTTCGTCGACCTTTTTGTGTTTTGTGAGTCCTTGTCTTGAACTATTTTTTTCGATGTCTTGCTCGGTCAACGAAGCAAACCTAGAAGTCATGTTCTTGCTTCTTCACTGACAGCAAGCACCACAAAGCGGGCGAACTTGACATGATTACCTTTAGAAATCGTGCACCGCGGTCATACATGTCATGATTACCCGTGACCTTGAGTGTCCTTGACATGATTATTGTATAATCTGCAGTTACGACGTCACAGACGCTGATTTCGAAAATTCACTGTACGCTTTCGGNGCCATAAGTATTAAGTGAGGGAGGGAGGACAGGGGGGCGGGAGCCCGGGAGAATAGGGGGCGGGAGGGGTACGGAAGGCGGGAGAGGAAAGGGCGGGAAGCTGGAGAGATAACCAGGTAACAGTGATGTTAGTGACTTAGATGGTGTACCTGAACCCGAAGTTGAAATGAAAGCGGTCATGAGGTGCGTCTACCACACACTGGAATATATGCCATTGGAGGAAACTCCAACGTTTTCTCCTTATTCATTTCAAGCGAAATGGAACAAACTGATATCTTTGGCACTGAATATGTTGTCATGGACGAAAGTTCATGGCGAAGGAGCACTTACATCTTGCAAGAAAAGTGACATCTTTTGTGAAATAGACATGGGAGCGGTAAGACTATTTGATAGCCGCTTGCAACTTGCTGAAGAAGCGTTTTGCAAGATCCTTTCAGACTGCCGAGAAGAGCGTGAAATGGAATCTGACGAAATTGGAGAAAATCACGAAATCCCTCCCGATTAGGAAGAGGAAGGAGACTTAACAGGTCTAACGACCATTTAGAGCAGAAGGAGACCAGTGTGCCCACCTTGGCACATGGAAGACTTCTTTTAGATTTCCCGAACAATAAATACGCATATCTGAAATCCGCCTGGGACGTTTGGCACCAATTCTGTCAAATCCCACTTCCATGGCTTAATTGTCTGATCCCAATAAACGCCGGATTGGTTACTGGAAATGCGTATAATTTATCAGAACACGAGACAATTTAGAATTAACTTTTGAGACCGTCGTCACTAAAACGGATTTCAGAAACAAATCTGAAGAGCCGATGAAAATGGACTGAAATGATGAAACTCAAAGAAGATAAACAAGTAGGTCAAAACTTTATTGAATTGAAACATATGGCAGTGGTAATCTTGTTAAATTATCTAAAAACAAAGGAAATGCTTAAGAATTGCGAAGCTAAATGACCAGGATGTATTTTGACTCTGCTAATTTAAAGGGGATGGAAGCAGCACGGAAGAGGGCGGAAGGCGGAAGATGAAGGTACGGGAAGTGGGAGAGCAGGGTATGGGAGGCGGGAGGTTCCGACCCCCCCTGTTCCCCCCCCCCCTTCCCCCGCGGTGATTCGACTTACAAAAATTTTTTTTGTAGTATAATTTCAGTAGTATAAGGGGGAGGTTTGAGACCCAACCAATCAGATCGCGTTATTTTGGTCATGTGACGCGTCTGGACCAATCAGCGTGCAGGATTTTCGGCTCAGGTCAGCGGTTGCATTAGTTCGCAATAGGAAAGACTGGGGCGAACTCGGTCAAAGTTGGCCGCGCGGGGCTGGACGCTAGGACGTGAGGGTCTGGGGACTGGAAGTGACGTCACACAGACAAACCACGTGATCAGATTTTTTTAAATTTCTTTTATTTACAAGTCTAGTAAATGATTTACATTTTCCATGTCGATATCGTCGATGTCGTCTCGTGTGTATCCGTAAGGATACGATAGGAAGGTGTCGGGTTCCACGACGCGTTTGTCGAAGACGACTTTGTATCGTTTGTTTTCTTCGTTCGTTTCTAATGTTTTTGTTTGGACATTTCGTTTAATCTTGTGTGGATTGTGTACGCTGATTTCCCGTGGTTCTTCGCGGGGTTCGGTGACTTTGTTGGTGACGTTTTCTTTTAACAGGTCAAAGTTCAATTGTTCTTGACCACGTGTGTTGAGGGTGAAACCGCGTACCTTGCATTCGACTTTACCGTCGTTGGTTTTGTAACCGTAATTCTTGGGGCCAGCGGCAGCAAACTCCACGATGTGAGTGCCCGGTTTCAATTCGCTGGTGAATTCGCCGAGATGATCGCCTAAGGGTGGCATGGGTTGATCTTCACGATGCGAGAAGATGATGGAGTCTGTGTCGAAGTACAAGACTTGTTGGGGTTGGAATCTACTGAGTCCTTCTCGATAGAGTTTGAGTCTGGCCCAGCAGGTGGTGAAGCAGGCCACGAAAATGTTGATGTTGACATGAACGGCTTCTTCGTCTTGAACGTGTTTGTAGACCAATTCGATCATCTCGTCGTTCATGACACGAAGGGTTTGAATTTCTTGACTGTCGTCGGTCAG